TCTCAATCTTTTTGTCATTGGTGTCAAATCCAACGTTATTCCCTCCTACCGATGAGTCATAAAATAACGTATGAAATGCAATCAGTAGAGTGATGCAAATTAAAAAAAAAAAAGTTTTGTTTTTTTTTTTTTTTTTTTTTTTTTCTTACAACGAGACAGTTTTCTAAATAATCCCGGAATCGGGGGAATGTGCCTAGGTATTCGTGCCAAAAGCCGCGGTGGGCTTGGTTATCGGCAAAGGCGGAGAAATGATTAAAAAGCTGCAGCAGGAGACGGGCGCCAAGGTGACGTTTTTGCATCTGAAGGACGAGGCGCCCGGCGATCGAACCTGTGTCATCTCAGGCAACGACGAGAACGTCGAGATCGCGCGAAAGAAAATCCAAGACATGATCGACAGCGTCGTGGTACGTCTCACTCTACCCTTTTTCTCCTGCAATTTTCCATGTTGACACAGCTCCACTTTTTCCCCCTCATTATTTTTCTCTTCATATTTCATGCACACATTCGTTCTACACGTTTGTTGCAGCTACTCATCATCGATACATTAAAAATTTATATTTCACTTTTTTAGCATCATTTTCCATTCATTTAATATTACTTATTCAACGAACTTTGAGACTTCGTAAGCTGCACTAAATGTGTTAAAAGAGTGTTGTTGCGCGATTGTTGAATTTTATTATAAACATTTTTTTTTTTTTCTTATATTTTTTAGAAGGGTAGACCCAATCCTCGAGGCATAATATACAAATATATATATATATATATATATACATATAAATTCATGGAAACTTGTATTGATTGTTTGATGCTCATCTCATGACTAAAATTTATTTAAATTTTGATTGCCTTCAATCATAAATATAATTTTAGAATTGAAATGTGATGCGCAATTAATACAAGTTTTTGATAATTGCCATATGATTATATCAAAATAAAAAGATAATTTATTACTATTGTAATACGTCTACCTTCTGCAATCACGTTCAAATATATTTACGTATCAGTGGGCTGAATGTAGCAAGTTTCTGCCTGTTAATTAGACAGTAAATTTCACTTCCCGTTCGTTGCGGCCCATAAAATCGTTCACACATCACAGAAGTAAAGAAATATGTGTAATCTACGATACTTCTTACTTAAAGGTCCTCATGAACAATGTACCATTATTGTCCCATGTGTGATAACGTGTATATGTATTATATAATATGATATATGATAAATTTTTAATTTTTAATGATCGGACCCTGGATGTGAGTACAAGTGGTCTATTGATAATCTCATAATTGATATATTGTTGATTCTATGATATTAACATTTTCAAAATTTTAACATTTTTCATAAAAATGATTGAATTTACTAATAGCTCTTTACTTTCACTAGGGTTTGGAGAGGGAAAGTTATAGGATATGTATGTGAAAAAAGTTGGATCGGAAGAAATATTGAATAAAAGAGTAGAAAAATGCATGTGACTGTATTTTTCGCTACTGGGAAGAGAAAAATACGATACATTTGCTATCTGTTTGGAACAAGCTCGTCGTCACACCGATGATCGTTATAATTGTTACAAAAAAATATATAATTGATTTCTACATGATCATGTTTCAAATAATACTATATACTTATTTTTTAATAATGATTGAAGAGATATACATATTTATACATACGTATAATACTGATTTTTAAAATGAATATCGCACTTGATATATACACTTCAGCATATACATTTGTTTCGATTTTATTTCATTTGTACATGTGTTTTATAGTAATTTAAGTATATTTAATTAATTTTATTTATTTAACTTCTGTTTATCACTAACGATCACTTAGTATTTCGTTTTTTCGTTTGTTACAGTCGAGCTCGAGAACTTGTCCTATCAGTTGTCCACCAAAAACGACCTGATGAACAAATACCAGGAGCAAATCCTCCTTACCCGGGACCTTCACCTCTTCCAACGACTTCTGGTAATCCGGGTTTGGTAGAGATCATGATACCCGGCCCCAAGGTGGGTCTAATAATCGGTAAAGGTGGTGAAACCATCAAGCAGCTCCAAGAGAAATCTGGAGCTAAAATGGTTGTAATTCAAGAAGGTCCTGGTCAAGAACAAGAAAAACCTTTGAGGTACGTTTATCAAAGTTCTTACAGCCACATTTATCTAATAATTTAATATACTTAATGATTACCACCATTTGGTTTTTACAGAATTACTGGTGATCCGGCCAAGGTGGNTTTTAAATATATATATATATACATTTAATATTTTCATAATATATTATGTGTATACTACTATACATTATATCTACATACAATAAGACTATGATATGCACAATTTTTATCCATTTAAAAAATTTATGATATAACAATGTATTATTTCCTTATATATGTACATGTATTACACCTTTGACATATTTTAAAGTTAGCATTATAATAAATTATGTTTTACAATAACACTTATTTATTTCCATACAGATTACAGAATAGCTTTCCAGAGGAACATTTTTTAAAATCTGAAGATTTTATAGATAACATGTGCATGTGAATGTAAATACATGCATATACCTGTAAATTTATATATCTTTAGGATACATAAATAATTATAGATGTTTGACTATTGTTTGAATAAAAAAAAAAAAAAAAAATGAAAAAAATATAAAAATAAACTTATCAGGACATTTTTAGTACCTTAATTATATGCTTTCGTTATGATTTAGGGTCAAGATTCTGTTTTTCTCTTGATTTTTTTGTATTCTATGGTATACTCCATTGTTCTAGTAAATAAACAACCTGAGACGTAATATTTCGACCACTTGTCGGCTTTCTTCAAAATGAGAGAAAAAAAAAAAAATTTCACGATGTATTGCATCAGAAGTATGCTGTTCATGTAATAACTGAAAGTACACATGTATTTCTTGATATGATGATGCATTTTTAATGTGTAAAATAAACAAAAAAACTTAAGGATAAAAGCAGCTCAACTTTATGTAACTCAATTATTTAGGCTTATAAGTACTGTTTAAAAAAAATGCATTTGTAATTGTGTATGAAAGATGAATTTTTTACTTTTTTTTTATTTGTACACTTGGTAACAGATTGTAGCATTTTCTGTTTTAATACATAGAGAACAATACAAATTTGTATTGTCAGTCATGCTATATTATATTGATATTGTAAAATGAAATTTACAAATATATTTCTGCAATATTAAAATGAGTCAAATATAATTATTTTTATGGTGTTTTTTCTAGGAGATAGTGATATACTTTCTTTCTAATATTTCCAAGCATTCGTGTTTTTCATTTAATTCAGAATAGTATGAAGTTATTCTATATAACCCTAAATGTTTGTTGGTAAAATAAAAAAAAAATTCAGAATATGCCTCTTTTATCTAAGTATCTTAAGAATATTTCTGCTATCTACACAATTAAAATTAGTAGGTATGTCAACCAATTTCACTAAATACTTTGCAAAATATGTGAATTTTCATTCTTTATCTAAATTATTCATATAATCAATGAATACTATATCTAAACATTTTTTTTTTTTTCTTATATTTTTTAGAAGGGTAGACCCAATCCTCGAGGCAATGGTTTTGCTGGAAGACCTAATGAATACGGTGGATGGAACAATCAACAAAATATGGGCAACAAGATAGAATGCAGTTTTCCTGTTCCCACAAACAAGTGCGGTATCATCATTGGAAAAGGTTAAAACACATTCTTGACATTATAAAATTTTACTAAACGTCAGTTTGATATGTGTTGTATTTTTTATTTTAGGTGGTGAAACAATTAAGCACATCAATCAACAGACTGGTGCTCATTGTGAACTTGACAGGCGGAATCCTGGTACTGAAACGGAAAAATACTTTACCCTCAAGGGAACGCCCGAACAAGTCGAGCATGCAAAAAGAGTATTTGCGGAAAAGTTGGGTGGTGGAACCATTGTACGTTTATTCATACATTTGACACTGTATTGAAAACTATACATGAGACAGAAAAATATACATCAAAATTTCACATTTCAGCCTCAGGCCAATAATATGTATGGTGCTCAAAATACGATGGGATACAACCCTACGTGGAATCCGGCCTACCAAGCTTGGCCAGGTCAGGCACCTGCGGGCGATCCAAATGCAGGACAAGCCCAAATTAATCCTTCTACGGGTCAGGCTGACTATAGCGCTCAGTGGATTGTGTACTACAGGTCACTAGGTATGCACAAAGAAGCTGATCAAATCGAGCAACAGCTCAAACAACAACAGGCGTCTGTGCCCAAACCTGACATGTCACAACAACAGACGCCAGGCGCAAATCCACCAAATCCTGCAGTTGCTGCTCAACCTCAGCCACAGCAGCAACCACAGCAACAACAGCAAGCTACTCAACAGAACGGTAGCCAAGCAGACTACAGTGCACAGTGGGCAGAGTACTATCGAAGTATAGGAAAAATAAAGGAAGCAGAAGCCATCGAGGCACAAATGAAATCAAAAGTAAGTAAGAACATCATATTCTGTGAATTTTCACAAAGAATGCAAAATAAATAATTACATGAGAATCAAGCAATAACGTAACAATAAAAAAAAAAAAAAATTGTCTAAGCAGCCTGGTAATCCAATGACCAATAATCAGATGGGACAGCCACAGCAGCAGATGCCGAACGCCATGGCGAACCCGGCTGCGCCAACTGGCCCGGGAGCTGCACCAAACGCCTTTCCACAGGCTTACGGTGGCTATGGCATGAATCCAGCGGCACCGGGCTACTATACGCCTGCGCAAGGTCCAACAGCTCAGCCTGGACAACAAAATCCTGGCTATCCTGCCGCAGCTAGCTACCAAAATTACCAATATCCTCAACAGCAGAGCTCTGACAACTGAGCGTCGGCATCACCGAGCAGTCTGTCATCTAAATGAACCTCTAGTAAGTGTAACTTCTTTCTTACTATATACCCTGCAATTTTCGGTTTTGTAGAGATTTTGTGTTCTTATTGTAAACAAGTCTTTTTGAGATATGATCGCAATAAGGAATGGTTTAATACAATAATTTGCTTTGCTTTATAACAGTAAAACGATCCAAGCAAATATGTATTGCCATTGTGGTAAGTACAATGTATGATTACATATGTTTAGTGGTTATCTCTAAAAGATTTGATTGAAATAATGGATATAACGAGTTGAGGTATATTGCCTTAATTGACTTTTTTTTATTCATTCAAAAGTATTGTGAAAGCATTCAGTGAAGAGATAAAACCAGTCTCGAATCATGTACATTTTTTTCTTTGCTTGAGATCCTAAATACGTCTGTGTATTTTTTTTTCTACCTATTAAAATTAATCTGGAAAATAATGATTAACATGTAAACTTGGTTTTGTTCGTATTGCTTTATAGTTACCATCACATATCAATCACGTTATCTATATTACTCAGTTTAAAACTCCCGATTAAAAGTTTAAAAGAAATTTCTATACTTTGAAATATGAAGGATCGATTTTTGTAGTTTATACAAAAAATGCGTACATCATATCTGCGCCCTTAAAGCAAAAACAAATACGTTTACGTTTGATTTATTTAAACAAAAATGGGTTTTGTCTCATATTAAATTATATTGAAATGAATGATAAAATTTCCAAAAAGTCATCT